TCACCAAATTAGACTAAAATAATGTGGAGTTACACTTCCTTAAAGATGGACTTCCCCTTAAGAACAACAGGATAGAAACTTCGCAAAACAAGACCACTATTAGTGAACAATTCTGATGTGGATCAGCAATCAAGCAGTCATGATTAACACCTTAATGTTGGCATTTGATGAGTATTTGTAGTCGATGAATACTTGTAAATGAGCACTTGTGGAGAACAAGTCTGCTGCCTGCATCGTGACTGCAGCATCGCTAACTCATACTCACTTGCACAGGTCAGTGAAGTTCAGCCATCCCTCCCTACTGCCTTTGGACACCATTAGCTTGGTTCTCAGAAACTGACACTCAGATGCCACTGAGTCCACGGTAGGAGCCAGTGTGTCATCAGTAATGATGCATGTGGCCTTTGACGCCTGGAGTCGATATAATATGTCTTTGGCTGATAACTGGGATATTCCTGGAATTAAGACAATTCCTGGAAAAGCAATAAAGTTAGTTTGGGATGGCATTTTTTACACCTGATTGTTTTCTAAGAGACTAAACTATTAACTATTCCCAAACTGACCTCTGATATAAATTTGCCCTGGCATTCCCAAGCCAAACAGTTATAGCGGAGTAATGCAGCTGCTTGTGCTCTCTGTAAAGAATAAAATGTGGACCTGTCTGGTGACTTGCACAGCTCTTCCCTGCGTTCTATCATCTCCAAGCCCGCTGCACCGGCACCTGCCGTATGGCACCTAGTGCAAATCCTTCAAGACTGCCTGGGTAATTGGTAGCTGGGCCACGCACTAGATTATTCCATTACTTTTCCTTTAAAAACCATATAAATTCTTGATCTTCTCAACCAATTTACATTAACCAGTTTTACCAGCCTCAGATATGCTCACTGACCTGCTCGCATGCAAGCCACATTCACCAGCCACCATTCTGGGACTCGCGGCAGAATCACAACAATTCTGTCCCCCTTCTGCAGGCCACATACTTTTGTCAGCACATTGGCCACTTTCCGAGACAGGAACCCCAGCTCCTCAAAGCTCCACTTTACTTCTTCTCCTTTTCCATTTATCCACCAAAAGGCAGGGTTTGGTGGTCTCTTTCCAGCCTACAAAACACAGGGATTCAAAACCAAAACATCTCCTTCTGAAAGACCATGAAATTATGATGCACAAATATCTACAAATTATGGAAGATCTGAGTATTGCACAACTGGTATATAAGTTATTTTTCCCTTGTCCTTAATGGATTGAGATTTGCTATGGATCAAGCCCAGATATTCCCAATAAATTCTCCTTTTCTGAACCTGAAATGTTTACCAGCCCAATTGTCTCCAGACCCAAGTCCTAGTCTGGGTCTTATTTCAGTTTAAGCCTTGTGCTGAGCATTAATACTCCTACGAAGTAACAGATAACGTGAAATACTTCACATGACACTCCTCACAATCTGGATGGAGTTGTGGAATACTATAGAAGCAGCACAGGCAGAGGACAAAATAAAACAGGACAACATGGTATCCCAGGACTCTTTCTAGTCTGATTGCTCAGGAAGAGGGGAGTCAACCCTGTAACTACAGGGCATCTGGACAAATGCAGAATGCACTTTGGAACAAGGCAATTAAACATTAGTGGGAGAATTCTCCCTATTGTGCAATGTTATTGTTACATTACCTGTCTTTTATGATATGAATACCTAATATTATAGTATCGAGAAGGAATAAGCACAGCCATTCCGAGGTTAAATCAAAGTCAAAAGGGATTGATCATTGCTTTTTCTACCTCCACAGGGAGGCCCAAGGGTCAGAAACACTTTTAAAATAAAGCAAGAAAGAATGAGATTTTGTATAATTTCCTAATGCAAATTGGTTTTGGGAACTGATTTTTTTTTTTTTAATAAAGAAAAATCCAACTTATTTCAAATGAAATTTCAAATTAAAGTATCTCATCTGCACAATAAAAGATCATCTACCTTTTCAATCTCAGACCATTTGTCCAGTACATCACTTGCAAAGTTAAAGTATTTTGGTATTTCCTGTTCTCCTCGCCTGACTGACTCGTACTGTGAATATACATCACAGGCAAGCAGCCTGGGCTGTCCATGGAAAGTCCTATTAGGAGGCTTCAGAGTCCACAAGGATTTTAGAGTCCGTAATTTAAACAACTTCATGGCAGAAGATGATGTACGTAGATGCTGTAGACTATTTTAAGAAAATTTGCAGAATTGTTGTTATGAATCCTGCAACAACAAAAACAACAACAATAAAAAAGGAAAATAACCTTGAGATTATCCAAAGACAATTCAGTTATGAATTGATGACTTAGTAATTGAAGTCACTTAGGTTAGCCACAGCCAAACTGATGTTTTTAACAGTTCAATTAAACGTGAAGTTCCCCATTCTGCTTGCTTATATTATTTACCACCAGCTTTTAAAGGACTTAATATACTGTACTGAACTGGCATCTTGTCTGTAACTCAAGGTTCTTGATGTGTCTTTGGGGCTGCTAATTGCTCACAACTCTCCTTAGTCAAACACAACATCAAATGTTATTGTTTGCATTATATGAAGATTACTGGTTCTTAGACCAAAGCATTCAGTAGCTGATTCTCTATTCCTTTTCCTTCATGTGGAGTGAATATATCCATTCTGACTGAAATATCCATTCACCACATATATCCCAAGAACCTTCACTTCAGTAATCCCTTATGTAGGTCCCCAAATTTGATTTAGACATTTCTACATTTGCTCGCTGTAAATGCCCTTTTCCATCTGTACTCACCACGACCCTAAAAGCTCGCAAGTCCAATTACTTTCTTCCTTTCCATTGCTACACTTTTTTCTTTCTCTCTTTTTATATTACTATTATCATTAGTATTATTTTCAGCAGTCTAGAAGATTGCTTCAGAACTGTGCTCAACTCTAAAAATTCTAATGGTATTTAGAGGCTTCTCATAAATGTACATGAAGATTATCAAACACGGAAAAAAAATTGCCTTGTGTCTGGAAGAGCCCACAGTCAGAGTCCTGGAGGCCCATGATGATTCTAAAGCCTGAGTCCATCCATTGATTTTCTTTCTTCAACCACTAAACACAAGCTACTAAACTCAATACAAAGTTAGGTGAGTGACAGATTAATTTTCTTTTCTGTTGTTACAAAGGATCAATCTATCCACAAACTAGGAACAAAATTATATGTAAACTCAATTAAATTCTTTTCCATGTGGAATTTCTGTGGCCCGAGCGAAGCTGCAAAGTTTTGCCCTTTGTCCCGGGTTTTATAAGTTCGTTTTGTGTTCGTTTACCTCTTGCCCCATGTCTTCAACCGTAACCACTTATCCTTACATCTCCGATACACAGATCTCAGTTTTGGTCAAATTTTATTCCTCAAGAAAAAGTAAATTATTTAACAGTGGAATTATGTCCTTATTCCTTAGCAGGAGCTTTTACAGTAATATTTAATCTGTCTATCAGGCAAATAAACTCAAATACCTAGAACTTGCACAACTTAATCTTTTGAGTGATAGCATAAAAAATCTGGATGCAGATTTTCCCCCCAGAACAAATACTTTGTCAAAATCAACAGCAATTTACAGTGTTCTCCATGCTACATGGAGACTGTGGTAGAAAAATACTGACCAGCTGTAAACAATCCTCCTCCTGAGAAAGAACTACATGGATATAAAATTAAATATTATTATGTGCCTAAGTGCCACCCACTTCAGAATCAGGATAATAGAGCAGAAGCTTATTTAGGTGGTACTTACATTTTAAATCAAAACTCTATTAACAGGATCTGGTGGAAAAAACAATCTAAAAAGGTTTTACTGGTGAAAAATGGTCTTTTAAATATTCCATAAATAGGTCCTCTTTGAGGTTGTGACTTCTACTGTTAATGCTAAAAACCTATGGATCCACTTTCATTCCTTTAACAGAAAAGTTAATAATTTTGATTATTCTTTTTAATAACATAGTAAAATATTACTTATTCCTTAGTCTGCTCTAATTCTATGATTTAGCTATAATCTTCAGATTCCAGAGCACTGCAATGACAAAATCTACACAACAGCCTGTAAAGAAAAGAGGAGAGAAAGAACATTCAGGAACAGTATTCAAGATTGGAAATTGTATTCCAGACTGGTAAACTGAAAAACATTTTAAATCCAGGATTCCCTAGTGCAAAGTTTTGTTGTGGCAGCCTTCAACAGTTTTTAGCACTTTTTCACCTGCAAACTTAGAGGTGAAAATGAAGTAAGAAAATTGAAGAAAAGACTCGGTAATGGCAAGGTCCTCTGAACTGCTGCAAGAATCAGAAATTATTTTTCCCAATTTAGTACCACCTGCTTCTTCTTAATGATCAGCAACACTAGGAATTCAGACAAACATTTTCCTGACCTGTTTGCTGTGGGCAGTACAGATTGAGAACTGGCTGAGGTAGATCCTCTTCATTCAGTTCATTCAGCTTTCAGGAGATGTTTCCCAAATGAGGCACTGTAAAGATTAGCCTTTCATGTCTCCAGATAAACCTGGATGCTCTGTCAAAAAGGATTTGGAGTGAAACCCTTTCTACTTTATCATTTGCTTCTTTTGAAGAACATAACACAAAATAGACCAGGCAGCACAATTCTTTCTGTGGAGTAACTTTTTCTTGTAATCATTTACAGCATGGTTAATTGTGCATAATTTGCACCTTAACCTAAAGCACTTTGTAACTTCTCTTTTCCCTCACTTTGACCACAAAGTCATCAATCTGAAGAGAAGTAGTTAAAGAATATGTCTTTCTCCTTCCACTCAGAAAGAATTTGGGAATGTTACAGTGATAGTTTTTGAAGAGAGAATTCACTGCTGATACCCACTACAGAACAAAGATTATTTTTATTAATTTCTCATTTATTTGTAATTATCAAAACATTGTAGTCACACTTTTTTTTTTTTTTTTAAATTAAGCTGTTTATACTAATTCCAGTAAAAAAATTAAACCTTTGTAAGCTCCCAGACCTATTCCTTCTCTCTCCCATTCCTCATTCTTAATTACTTGCACCTTCTCCCTTCTGAAAATTTGTAGGTCGATGGCAAAAGTGGTTCTAATACCACACATCCTCAAGCCATAAGAGTGTTATCTCCTTTTTTTCCCCCGTAGCTTGTTTTTCCATATGTTCTCCTAGTGCTCTGGGACATGACCACATGCCAACTGTGATGTGCTATGGCTGGTGTGGATGATGGAAATTTTCTCTCCTCAGTTTCCAGATCATGTTATACTCTTCCCCACTCTTTGTTCCTCAGAACCTTTCTCTGGATTTTCCCAGTAGCCGTCTTTGGCAGATCCTGAACAAACTCCACCTGAAAGGCAAAAATGCTCACTTTTAGCTAAATACATTCTGATTAATCTCCCAGGTGCAAGGAAAGACACTGTTATTACAGCTAGGAAGACGGGAAGCTGCACAACTTGGGGCTGGGACGGTGAAATTCCTCACTACACTCCCTTGAACAGAGCTCCAGGGAGGAATTGGTAAGCAGTGAATGCCTTGCCCATTTGAATTGCAGTGAAAACCCTGCTATTTCATGAAAGGAAGACTGGACCCTGATAAATATACGTTATATTACCATTTCCTCCCTTTGGATCCTTTCGAGCACATACAGTGAACCCAAGGCTACAGCTGCAACAGACCCTGTAATTTACTTTTATTTTATTTAACTATGGTTGCAGTCTTTGTCAGAATGCAGCTGAAAAGAACCTGAAGCAGGACAAAAAATGTTCAATTTTTGATACAATTAGAAGACCCATCTTTTTGTAGTGTACTTACCTTCCTCGGATACTTGTAAGGTGCAGTCACCTTCTTGACATGTTGCTGAAGCTCATGAGTTAATTTTTCTGGATCGTGTGATACAAAAGCAGGAGCTAAAACAATGAAGGCTTTGACTACCTGTGCCACAAAAGTTAAGGGACTCCATTAACTTCCAGACTTGGGAATAAAGGGATACATTTGTTGCCAAAACCAAGCATCAAAATTCAGAAATGTTTTTCCTTTAATTTCCCTTTTTTTTTGGCTGTTTATTACAGAATGCAACGTTATGAAGCACATATTCCGCAGCATAGGATATTTTGTATTGTACTAAACTTTCAAAAAGTTGTAGAACAGAAAAAAGGACAGTTGAAAATCTCACCCCAGGGCTCAAAGAAACGTTGCAACATTGAAAAACATAAAAAGAAAATTAAACATTCTGGATATCATTGCCATCATGTGCTTAGTGACAAAAAGAGAAATAATCTGAATTTCTTAAACAAAAAGATGCCATAGTAAGTCTGAAGAACCAGACTTTTTTTCCACATCCAACCCTGCAAACAGGGAAACAAGTCTGAAATTCCAAGGTCTGTCAAGGTATGGTTTTAAAATTTTTTAAGCCATTTTAATTTCAAAAATCTTCAAGATACTTAATTGCAAGGAAGCCTAGTACATATAGAGAACCTGATCCTTAGAATAAAGTGCATTCCTTTCTGTATCTTTTTTTTTTTCTTTTTACCTCCCCTCGAATTGGATCAGGACTGCTGACAACAGCTGACTCTGAGACTGCAGGGTGTTGTATTAATGCACTTTCAACTTCAAATGGGCCAATACGATACCTAGGACACAATGCAGATAGGACAGCCGTAGCAAGCGAGCCATTCAGTTGGTCTTTGCAGATTGAATTTTAACAAGCAAATGAGCAAAGCTAAAAGCAACTGACTTACCCAGAAGAATTAATTATATCATCAGATCTTCCAACAAACGAGACATATCCTTCTTCATCCATAATCCCTCTGTCCCCAGTGACATAAAAATTTCCACACACAGAAGCAGCAGTTTTCTCTGGATTATCCTGACAACAATCAGACATTTCAAAAAATGTATCCAATTGTTAGTGAGATGTAATGCATTTACTTTGCAGTGGTGATAAAAACGATCAAGACAATTTTTAAAGTTGTTCTCAAAATGAGTATATTCAATACTATTTTATGCCTTCACAATTAAAAAAAAAGAGCCGCATTAATTAGCAGTTTTGTGGTGGAAATATGTGAGAGGCAGAAAAGAGCATTTGTGTACATATGGATTCATGTTCCAGGGAAGAAAGGGTGTGCTCTATCAAAATGCTCATCCATCACAGCAAATTACTAAAATGTATAACCCACTCTTCAGAGAAATGATTTATCATTGTAGGGCGTTGCCACAATAATCTCCTGTCAATGGAAATTTTTCACCTCTAACCTTCAAGACCAAAATACAAATGAGGTGACCTACAGGAAAAACTTCATTATCTACATCGATCTATCGAGTCTAGATCACACAGGAAAAACACGTTGACAACAGAAGACATAATGAAAAATTGAAGCAATAGTACTGAACCAAAAGAAGGTTTTTTATCACATAGTGAGCAATTACTTTGTGCAAGTAGTTGTTTGGGGTTGCTACAAATATCCAAATATTATGGGGATTCAGAAAAGAATTAAACAGCAGCCTTTATGGGTTCCTTCATTAATCCATAACTAATGATAGGAGTTGAATGGAAGGGAAGGAGTGATGTACTGAACATAAAGCCTGTGCTAGCTGCCAGGTACAGGTTTGGAACAAGTTACACCCTACCCATCAGTCTGATCCTGGAATAGCGGAATAATGTAGTGATTAGGCTCAAACCCCCAAGCAAACCAGAGAGACCTTGTGAAGATGCTGGATGAAATTATGCTCCTCAGTAAGTCAACAGGACTTTGCCCTGGGTCTCTCTTAAGCTTCCCAGCAGACACAGACAGGCCAACTCAAACTTACCAAGTACTCGGAGAACAGACAGAATGGTCGCATTGGTTTAATTCGGACACCAATGTGGCCTTCTTCTCCCCTAGGCAGAATAGCCCCATGGTCATCTATGATCTGCAGAAAGGACATATCACCGTTGCTTTGATTAGCTCAGTGAAATATGTGTGTTATAGCAAAGTGAAGGACAGAGAGGGACACAGACAGTAGTCCGTTACTCATGAACCCACAACTGCAGCTGAGCTCAGATGTAACATATCAACATACCTGCACATCATAAGGGGGAACAGCTTTTCCCAAAGAGCCAGGTTTAATTTCCATTCCTTTCATATTGGCACATATTGTTACCTGCATAATAGATATTTCTTTTTTTTTTAGTTTGTGCAACATCTTGTAGGCTTTATTATTGGCTTGCATTAGCCACATCTCTTTGTGACTTTGTCATGACAAGGACTGAATCAGAACTAAAGCACTGTGGTTCTCCAGCACATCAGAGAGGGGCTGAGAAGTTTTTTAGGTCAGTCCTGTGGAATGAGGTTGCTTGTGCTCAGTCTGAGCCAGTGGGTTCTTCTGCAAACACTTGAATTTGCAAGACTGCAGATGTGAAATTATTACAGATCTTATTTCAGTAATGGGACAATTAATTTGGGACCATATCAGGGGTTAGAGGAGAGAACGCCTGAAATCTGACTCCTAATAGCTTCGTTAACATTCACTTACAGAGAAGTCTAGGATGTGAACCAATTTCATATTTTACATTAAAACCTTGGACAGGTCAAATTGATACCCAGAGCAATTTTTTTTTTTTTTTTTTAAGTTTTGCCTTTTAAGTAAAGATGATGAAGGGATCTACCACAAGTTATCTGATCTGAGGTAATCTCTGGCATGATTTTTGCAGGGGGCTGAACTCTGTAGTCATAGTATTTCCTATAAACATTAAAATATGCAGCTAGTTGATTTTGAAACTATGCAATCATAATTATATACAGCTGCTTCTTAATAAAGTTCATTTAAGTGATTCTTACCTTTTCCAGTGATTTATCAAGCACATTGTGCCTCTGGTATTGTTATCTTTGAAAGGGCATACTGCAAGAACTAATGCAAACGTACCGTTTCAGTCTGGCCATAACCTTCATGGATATCCAGCCCTGTCTGGATTTTCCACTTTGCCATCACTTCAGGATTGAGTGGTTCCCCTCCAGACAAACAGCGTTTCAGACTCATGAACTTGTAGCTTGAGAGAAATAGCAAATGAAATAACTTTCTTAATTTCTGAAAAGAGCAGTGAATGGTCTTAACTGAGCAGCCTCTATCAACTTTCAAAGTACGCCTAAAACTTCACAAGCTACTTGGGAAATTACAATAATTATCCTGTTACACAGTCCTGGACTGAACTCCTAGATTGCTCGTGTTACCACTGAGGATATTGTAGTTTATCTCTGTGTCACTGGAAGTAGGTATTTTTGCTGGAAAAATACTGAGCAAAAGTGTTTTCTTGGAAATCTGAACAAGAACATCAGATGTTCGTGGAAAGCCGAGTTATATGCCGACATCCAAGATCAAATAAGACACTGAGAATTTTCTACAGCAAAAGGAAGGCTGAATAGGAACACAGAACCTGAGCTCTCTGCTAAACCAGGGTTGGCTTTTGTCAGGATGTGAGATGAATAAGTACCTGACTGAAGGTGTGAAAACTCCTTACAAATCACACTGACTACTTCTCATAAGCTGAGTATTTTACAGTGTAACAAACTGGTGGGAACAGCTGCCAAATAACCCAGCATGTGAATGTCCTCTAACTGCTCACTTCATTGTCAAGTATATGGGAACAACGCCACTGTACTCCAGTAATTCCCGGATCCAGTGCTGCCTGAAATCTTGACCATAAATTCAGAGGAAGTGTCAACTTAAAAAAACCTCACTTGTTTCCTCTGTGTTGTCTTTTCAGAGACCCATTCCTAATGCCTGACTGGCCTAAGGTGTGACTAGTTAGTCTCATATTTCATAATAGCTTTCTTTTCTGAGAGCAAATTTTGCTAATTAGATTTCCTTTAAATGAAGAAAAATAGGCACCACAAGGAACTAAACAGCCAGAGGTGTTACAGCATTATATCGCAGCCTCCCTCTGCTACCCCTGCAACAGACAAATGTGTGGTACCTGCTCAAATCATGTTGGACCAGCATGCGAAAGGCAGTGGGAGCAGTGCAAAAGGCAGTGATGGGGTATCTTGAGAGAGTCTAGAAAAATATAAAGTTATTTTGTTGAAAAGAAAATGTAATGGTGGGTCTGACCTCGTAAAAGTGCAGCTAATTAACAAAACTTATGTGCTCAAATGTCTGCAAAATAAAAATCATAAAAATGCAACACATATTCAACACAGAGAACGACTATGGATTAGTGACTATGAGTCCTGACTGCGGAGTAGCTGTACCAGTCAGTCCCACTGTTGTAGAAAATATAGTACTTTCTGTCCAACAAAAATCACTCATGTAAATGAATGACCACTGACAGTAGTAGTTTCAATTAAGATTGTTTTCTCTTTTCCAAAGCGACTGTGTCTTAGGCTCAAGACTAAATGACAATAGTGAACCAGACCAAAGCTTTTCCAATTTTATTCTTGGGAAAGTCTGGGTCTCCTCTCCACACAAGAGGCCAATGTTGAGGAGAATAAGCCAGCTTACGGGTTTTGCAAAATGGCAGAGAGGAGGAACAGGCATTCTGGCAACTCACTGAAAATTCAGGATAACAGGACCGTGATTCAGGTCTATGCCATACTCCGATTACTGGCTCATGCTCACCCTGAGCCCAAAGTAGCAGGAAGTCCATACTTGAAGTAAGCTTTACGCTTAGTATGGGACAAGACAGCAGTGATCTTAAGTTCTTTTTATCCTGCATCTTTCACCATATCTCCTCTACACTGTAGCTCTGTAACATGGCCTAGCCTGGAGGGAAAACACTTGTTCCTCCAGCTTACTCACCACCAAAGGGAGGGGTGATTGCTTGGGATGTGGGAAGTACCATGCCTGCTGCTACAGAGCAGTGGGTACCCATGCACTCCCAGCTTGTTTGCTTCATTTACGCAAAATGGAAATAAAACTCACAGTATAAAATGTTACACTTACCTCTGCAATAACTGCTGGCTTAAACTGTGGCATATTGTGTACAAAGACACACGATCCACAGATCCATGGTGCAAAAACACTGCTCCAAGCTGATTTTACCCAGCCAGTATCAGCGGTATTCCACATTATATCTGAAGGAGTCAAGTCCATCCAGTACCTGATGATAAAGCAGAGATGAAAAAAATGCTTCACAGAGCGTGAGAGACTCAGGCACAGGTCACAGCATAATTAAAGGAAAGGGCAGGAGGCTTCCATTAGAAGATGCGGTGTCAGCAAGTGGGGCTCTTTAGACATTTGTAAGAGTTGAAGAGAATCTTGAATATTCTCTTATTTTCCCTTCATTCTCTCCTGGTTAACATTTCTAGCATATGCTTGGCTCCTGAACAGTGCAAAACATCCTTGGCTTGTGTTGCGGTATCTGGATCTAGAGCAAAAACCAAACAGATCATTTGGAGTAGGCTTTCCCCACCTTGTGGATTAGAGACATCAGCTAAATCACATCTTATTTCCCTAGGAAACTAACCAAATTAGTGCTATGGACTCTACTCCAACTTCCAACTCGGAATGCCTTGGGAAATGTATCCTTTGATTTTCTCATGCCTTGGGAAGTATAAATAAAAGATGTTCAATGAAAGCAAAACAGTACCAAGCCATAGATTCAAACTGAACTGCAACTTTTAAGGTATAATGCTGTGATCCAAGGTTGCTTTGGTTCTCAGGGAAGGCTTACATAATACTAAAGCACTCAACTTTATCTGGTTTTGCCGTAAAGAGGCTATCCTTATTGCTACTCTGCAGTCAGCCCTCTGAGCTACAGAACATTGTGTTTGATGATGTCAACTGAGTCTTCAAGAAGCTTTTAATAATGAGGGTTTCACCGTGAGAGGTGAAAGGTGAGGAAGAAGCAAGATCCTACACTCATGAAATGCCTATATTTACTGGAGTTTTTCTAGTCACATTTTCAATTGAATTGTGATCATGTCACTTAATCAGGACACTGGGAGCAACTGCAAGGTATACCTGGCACTGGTTGCAAATCCGATGCCGTAACTGCTGTGGGACTGCACCACCATTTTTGGAGAGCCTGTACTTCCACTAGTAAAATAGATCAGCATTGGGTCTTGACTCCTTGTCTTGACACATTTATGGTCAGCAGATGCCACCCTTCAGAAGAAAGAGTATATGATGGTTACTACATGTAGTTTTTCACAAAGGAAGCAGTATTTTTTTAAGGTTTAGGTGATAAACAGGAAAATGGCCCAAAATGATCTCACTAAATAAATAGTTGCATCAGACACCAGAGGTAAGAATTAGAGAGCACATTTTGCTAGTCACAAGCGTGCCCCGTATGCCATAACTTTCAAGATGTGAGCACCTACAGCATATGCCAGTGACTTTGTCTACAACTATTTGGCAAGAGCACTCAAGGTGCTTGTTATGGAACAGCAGGTAGATGCAAAACCAACTTCTGCCTCAACACATATTGTGTCGCAATCTGAAGTCAAGAGGGACCATATTCAGGTTATTATGCCAGGTAAGGTAGTCTTAGACAAGTATTATACCAATTATGTTCAAGAGACTGATGAACAACTCAAATTGTCTGGGCAACCAAGATAGTCAAGGAAAGAAATAATTGATGCTGTGTTAGCTGAGCACCGAGAGCTGGCAATGGGTATCTTCTCATTGAATTCAAGAGGCATTAGGCAGCTCTAGAAGACAAGCACAAAACAACTGCAAAATTAGTACTCTGTGCGCTTGTCTTGTGATCACAGTGGAAGCAAAGAGCTTTTAAAAGCTAGCAGGCTGCTAAGTAAGGAGAAGCTGAAAGACCTGAATACAGCTCCCAAAAAGTGTGTTGGAGGGATTTGTACTTAATGCAGTGATTACAGTGAGTTGGCAGAGGGATGCAAAAATGTATTTTGGAAATTAATCCCAAAACTCAGCAATACCACCTGACCGATACAGCTTCCTTCACCTCACAGGGATGATGGTATAACAGCTGGATACTCACGCAAAGAGTTCTTTGAGGTTCAGCCACCCATCTCTGCTCCCTTTGGCTACAATTAGTTTGCTTTTCAGAAACTGGCAGTCAGGCATGACAGATTCCACTGCAGGTGCCAGTGTATCATTGGTAATGATGCACTTGGCCTTCGAAGCCTGGAGTCGGTATAAGATGTCTTTGGCTGTTAATTGGGATGTTCCTGGAATAAAGACAATTCCTGAAAAAAAGCAAAAAGCAATTTAGAAAATTGACCATTTCTCTTTACTATGGTCACAGGACATGACCCCAGCCATAAAAAAGCTGAGCTACTTGCCAAAAACTTATTCTCTGAGAAACAGGAGTCAGAAATAACTCATGTTTGAAGGAAGAGCTTGGGTGAATTCATGGCCTAGAAATCACCTGGTATCACCTCGCTCTGAAAGACCTCCAAACCCTGCAACACTGATGCACCTCGTATCACCTTTTGTGTCATCCATATCAAAGGTATCTAGATCATGACTAAGACCTAGATTTAAAGTGTTTTTGAGCACTTCCTTCATGATTCATAACTCAGGAAGGAAGTGTTGAGATTATCAATGCCTTAAGTATATGAATAAGGCCAGCATTTGGATTATATTTACACCTGGAATAAAGCCATTATTCATTTCAATAAGGAATTAATACCTCTGAAATGGGATAAACAGACTGAGGTCAGGTAGCTTACATACATTGCTCAGTCAACATATCCCTCAAGCTTGGATTCATTTTGTAATGGGAACAAATGTAAATTTGGATACTGAGTACAATGTGACTGAAATCACATTTTCAGAGCCGGGGGCTGAGGAGGGGGGAATCAATTTAGTGCATTTCTATACCTCCTTTTCCCAAGGATTTCAATAGACTTGACCTACAGACTGATTTCAGTCTTCTTGGACTTTCAGAGGTGTCTAACAAATTTTACAATTGGGAAACTGAGGCACTGAGATACTGAATAATATACCCATGTCATAGTCCAGAAAATCTTGTATGCAATAGAATTGGATTTGTAACAGCAGAGCAAAAAAATACTGTATTGAATTATTAACCAGTCTAGTCATATAACTTAGTGCACTAAAACTCTCCACACTGATAAGGTATCTGGTCAAATTTGGCCTTAGATTGTAACCGTTCAACCTTCACTGGCTTCAACCGAGGATGCTGTTTAACTGGACCATGTCTGTTCATCGCCTAGTACGACGTCACTTTGGTTCCTGTATGGGTGCTGCCAATTCTCCTACACAAAAGCTGAAGTGTACAGGGCATAGTAGCATATTTGTCTTTAGATTTTCTTCACGTTATTTTAGCATATTTTTCATATCTTCTATTTATTTTCTTTCTGCATCCAAGAGATCAGTAAGGTTACTCACCTGTTCGGATACAGGCTACATTCAGTAGCCACCATTCAGGAACACGAGGCAGAACTGCTATAACCCTGTCTCCTCGCTGTAAACCACATGCCTCGGACAGTATATTAGCTGCTTTCCTGGACAGAATTCCCAACTCTTCAAAGGTCCATTTCACTTCCTCTCCCTCATCATTTACCCACCAAAAAGCTGGATTTGCTGGTCGTCTTCCATCCTATAACGCAACAGAAGATATTAAAAAAAGAAGACAATCCTTAAAAGGTTTAATTTCAATCCAAAATAACTCTGTACTAAGCAACTCATCCCTGGCAACTAGTCTCTTAAAGTGATACCTATATTTCTGACAAAATAAAATAGTGCATTCTAGTCTGTAGCTACTATTATCCACTATCCGTCAGGAAAATTTATTTGTATCATCTGAGATTTGTTCCAATGTCTATGAAGTAAAAATACTACCTTTTCCAGTTGTGACCACTCATCTAAGACATCATTTGCGAAGTTGAAATATTCTGGCAGTTCCTTTTTACACTGGTTTATAGAGTCATAATGTGAAATAATCTGAGATGTAAGAACCCTGTTGCATCCATGGAATAATCTGCAAGGCGACCTGAGAATCCGCAAACACTGAGGAATCCATGATTTAATAAATGTTCTCATGATAAATGATGTTTTATCAGACAGTGGGAAAAAAATCAGATGCACGCCTACAGGAATCAGTCATCTGAAACAAAAGAAAATACATTTTAAAACAGCCAGGTATTGGATGCTGTCCAGTTTATAATGTTGGATAAATAAATGCAAACCAGCTTGAATAAACAGACTGTTTGTGTGCATCCCTGGTTTTCCCCATTATTTTATGTGGTTCTTAAAGTAAGTGTTCCTCCTTTTCTGGCAAAGAATTTGTGTACTCTTTTTTCATTATAATCTTTGTCCTCTACTTTGTCAGCCGATAAATGAATCTCATATCGCCTTTCTAAACTTTCACTTGCCAGTCCTTTTCTAAATATCTATCTCTTGATTCCTTTAAATTTTATATTTTACTTTGCCTACTTACAGAAATAAAATGCCACTAGTTAGAAAGCGCTTTGAGGACACTTTGTTTATCCCCTTGATTTAAAGCAGTCTCTGTAATTACGCTATGTCTGAAATATACACTAGATGGCGATTCACACTGAACTTACCCACCAGTAAGACTGACGAATCTCTGATTTATTTCCTTGTGAGTTTTATTTTCACTGAGGGCATGGAATAAACACTAGGCAAGCAAAGGTGAAATGCCAAAGACTTCCATTTGCTTTGCACCTCAGCTGCAGCGTGCAACTTTGAAAAAGATACATATTGTAAAACAAACTTGCAAAGAAAATTCCAGCACAGTTTCTCCTAGTATTGCCTACACCACATACAGGTAGTGTGGAAGATGTGAAAGAGGCGGAATGGATGATACTCCTGTTATTTAAAAATCAGCCTTGGAAGTCCAGAAGACTGGATTTTTACTCATAGATGCAGAATCTTCTGATAAACTTGTTTTGCGTGTAATCAAGTCCTTAAGAATCTACCCACCACATTAAATCTAAGGGAATTTTTCCCTCAATTCAGTGGAGCCAGCTTTGCTTTTAAACCTTCCAGTGCTGTTACTTTCTCCTTGTTTAATAGCCAACAGTGTGTACCTATCTCACAGGGATACTACGCTGTTACTTTTGCCTTTGCATTATGTATTGCAAGAACACATAGTGACAGCTTAAAGTGTTCAATGCCAACAAATAACAGTAACTGACATCACTCTAAAATCACTGTATTTGTGAGGCAAAACAGAGACATGCAAACAGAAGGTGCTCACATGTGAGGCATATGTCAATGGCTCTCGACCACACAACAATTTCCAGGGTGCGAGTGGTAACAAAGCAGAAGGTCCAAGAATTGTATTTATCCTGCATCCAACGTTTCATGCTGACTAGCCTGTAACTTCTGCAGAAGGCAGATTTTCCATAGCTCTCAAACCGCAAAGCACAAAATGAAAGAGCCAGAACTAGTTAGCACTGATGAAGAAATGTACAGAAATGTGACCTAATGTGCTGTATGGCGAAGAGAAAACATCGTACTCCATCAGTTTCATTCTTTTGTTCAGTTCTGCTAAATCCCACTCCACTCCTCATTACAAATCTGTCACGGCAGGACTGACTGCTGTATGATGCTCTTCTTCTTCCAGTTTCCTTCCAGGACATAGAGCTCAAAACTCTTTCCAAAATGGTGCCTATTCCCTGGTAGGAGGTTTCCAGGAGGGATCTGAATTGACTGCTATTTGTTTCAGTGGCAGACAGGGGAAAAACAGCTCTCTAAGCAAATGGTTTTGTCATCCTACCTGTGCTCTGGGAGCCTTAGGCTGCGTTCTGAGCTTACAACACAGCCTGTTCAGATCAAACAGGCCTTGTTAGTTTTTTCCCTGTTCTTCTGAAAGATGCTTTTTAACCCTCCTAGGACGTTACTTGAAAGACATCTTTGGAAAACAGCCTGTTATGAAAAGAAAAAGACCACAAAGTCAAACAGGAGACTCTTATCTTTCAGCTTTTTTTTCCTGTAGTACCTGATTGCTGCATCTGTATTTACGTGTGATCTTATCTTGCAACCAGCCTGAATACACAGCTCCCTCTGATTTCATTAGGCACCCTGTACAAGCGCTAACAGAACATGTCTCAAGGTGCATTACAACCCAACGCTTTTGAGGTTGATAGGAAAGAGTTCACTTGAAACCCAGCCCCGCTCTCATCAGCCATGAAAACAACCTAAATTGAAGCAATCTGCCACCCAAGATCCTTCACCGCTAAGAAAATGGAGGCTACCACACCAACCACCATTACAAACATTCCTTCCTTTTAGCAGTACCCTCCTGATACTAGATTTTTCATCCTTCAGTCTAAGGGCATGAAGGAGCAAAGCAGCACTTACCACTCCTCAAGAGGAAGGAGGAGTCTTTATTGGCGGCAATTTCTTTAACTACAAGTTCGGTTCTACTAATCTGAATCCATCTGTCCTCAAGTCAGCTCTTTCCTTGCCTGTGCCAATGGAACAACCACCAGAACACCTGGTCTCCTCCAGAGAGGCCAAAGCTTTGGGTGTAAAGTTTACGAATTTCAGCACCGTTTAAGGGTCAAAGATGTTTCTGCTACAATTACAGACTGGCAGATAATTTATAGAAATAACCATTTCTTAGTAAATGGCAACTTCTTAATCTTTTTGTAAGATATTTCTTAACACATTCCACAAAGACTATTTAGTGATGCCTCATAGTTCACAAACACAGTTGATAGCTATCCTAAGGATGAAATAGTATATTTGGTACCTTAACTTTACTGTACAGATATTAGCTGCAGGAAATTGTGCTACCACTGAAAATCAATGGCAAAATCTTCTGGTTTAACCTACAAGCATTATCTTACTTGAGCTACAATTTGGCACTTAAGCAGAGATGGGAGCCTCACAGACAAGGCACTGAAGAAATAGACATTAAAATCACATATGCAAAGCAATGAGAGTTTTTCCCTGACTTCAGCATGCTCTAAATCAGATCCATAATAAGTATCTCTGCAAGTGCAACAGACAACCAAATATTAAGCAGAGGAACAGCTCTCGAATACTTTCCCAGGTACCTCACTTACTGTTTTGTCTGCAGCTCTGCGCTGGGTAACAGTGACACGGTGACAAGAGCAGGCTGTCTAATTAGAGAAGTGCACTACAAATTGACTGGTGCTTCCATGGGCAAGGGTTTCCTCCTGTGCTCTCTCACCCTCTCCCCAGGGTTCTGATTATTTACAGAAACAGTAAACTCACCTTCCCCACAGCTACTTTTTTTCTAAACACTGCTAAAGATGGGGAAGTAATTAACTACATTAATCTTCCCATGGAAAGATGCAGTTGGCTCCACTGGTGGTAGCTCTGTTATCAACCTTATCAGCCTCTTAGGTTGGCTGATAAAACAGCAGCCATTTAGGCAGCAAACCCTGCTGCTTAGTGCTCCTTTCCTGCTTTCTTTCTCAGTAACTGGATAAAGGCAGGGCAAGATGAAGACACATCGGTTTTTCCTTCTGCCATTATTGTTTCTCACAGGCTTCCCGGCAGCAGACAGCATAAGCCCAAACGAAACAAAGCCAAAGAAAGCCAAACTCCCCCAAATAAAAAAGGAGAACAACGTGCTCTTGCTGAAAAACAGCAACTTTGACAGAGCATTGAAGGAAACTAAGTACCTGCTGGTGGAGTTCTGTGAGTATCAATTTCCACTGTCTCTTACCCTGATGGCTCTGCAGAGCATGACTGATGCTGGGGCACTCAGGTATGCCTGTTTTGCTGTTGCTTTGTCCTCCAGTAGTCTTTGTTTGTTTTGATTTTCTCCATGTATCTATTTCTAACCAGACTACTGTAATTTATTCCTTTTTGCTGTGGTTAAATACCAATCTGCTACATAAGATGGATACCAATAGGAAGACGGGTCCTCAAACGCACAGTGTTAGTTGGCATTCTTTGCTTCCACTGACTAATTTTGCAAATACGTGTTTCACAGCAGTGGTGGGTGAAACTCTAGCTATTAAAAAAAAGAATCAGAGAGGGCTTTTCTTTTTACAACACTTTGTTGTCTGCAATTGCATTATACAGGACTGCAAGACTCTCTGAAATTAGCACTTGGTTAGGTGGAGGCTGGTCTGTGGTTTTTCTGTTAGGTTCATGTTCGTTCCTCATGGGGAGGAAACTAGAAGGACCTTTTGAGTAACTAACTTTGTTAGAAGGTCTGGCCATCTGAGCCTTACAGAAAGTAAATCACAAAAGCAAAAGCCAAACAGTATATTCCTGTGATGTTACCCATCTAAAAGTTCAGACGCTGCATAATTTCCCACTCCACAAACACGGAGCTGTACTTCCTAGCAGCTTGCTGGTAGCAGAAACTCTTCAATCTACATAAGACAGCAAAAGCTTTGTCTCTGTAGCTTGGGCTTGACCCTGCTTCACTGAGCCATACTCACTGAGCTCAGTGCACACATCCACTTAGCCTTAAATTATTCAAACACCTTGCAAACTAGCCCTCCTTTGGAGGCAGGCATTAGAGACAGGCATAAGCTGAAAACCCCAATATATTCCATATTTGGAAGGGATATTTGAAATTACGGCAACATCCTAACTTCACAGAAGTGCATGCAATGTGTTCTTTTGCCTCACTACCAAGCGTGGATGATGATGATAATGAGTAGTAGTAGTGTAGGTCACTCTGAAATGAACACACTTGTATTTTTCCAACAACAAAACCTAAAATACACTAACAGATTAAAGAAACTAAAAATATGTTTGGATCATACCAAACATTTAATTAATCCTGAAACAATGTTATAAAACTTATTTTCAAAACTTTCAAAACAATCACCTTAGAAATTTCTTTAAAACTTAATGTTTAAGACTTTTAAACAGTTTTGAAAATGTTGAAATTTAACAAGATTTTATTTTTTAATTGTAGAGGGTCTAAAGCTATTTGGCAAATTCAGTCTATTTTTGTGAACTGTTTTGACGTCTCTGAAGAGGCATTATTTTGGTGAAAAAATAATTTACCAGAAAAAAACTTAGTCAAGCTCTATTCTCAGCTTTGTAAGAGCTGATTCAAAGCACAGAACCTAAACACC